AGTGTGGGTGTAGAGTGGATGTGTTGGGAGAGGCATTTTTTGAAAAAAATTTTACTAATAAATTTAGTACAATTTCGGTGGGTGAGTCGTAGGTTGGAATCATAAATCTTGGAGTGGGACGTTTTGGAAATTCGTACTACTGTGTACTAAATTTGGTACAATTTGAATTGTGAGTGAACCGAAAGAGTTGTAATCCTGAAACTTGAATTTAGCATCTCTGTTTAGGGTAAGTAAGAAGTTTTCGAAATTCGTACTACTGTGTACCAAATATCGTACAATTTGAACTGTAGGTGAACCGATAGAGTTGGAATCCAGAAACTTGGATTTAGGATCACTGTGAGGGTGTAGGATTGGGGTATGTAGGAAGTTTTGGAAATTGGTACTACAGTGTACTAAATTTGGTACAAATTGAATTGTGGATGAATCGATAGAGTTGGAATCTTGAAACTTTGATTTAGGATCACTGTGGGGGTGTAGAATTGGGGTATGTAGGAAGTTTTGGAAATTCGTACTACAGTGTACTAAATTTGGTACAAATTGAATTGTGGATGAACCGATAGAGTTGGAATCCTGAAACTTGGATTTAGGATCACTGTGGGGGTGAAGAATTGGGGTATGTAGGAAGTTTTGGAAATTGGTACTACAATGTACTAAATTTGGTACAATTTGAATTGAGGGTGAACCGATAGAGTTGGAATCCTGAAACTTGGATTTAGGATCACTGTGAGGGTGTAGGATTGGGGTCTGTAGGAAGTATTGGAAATTCGTACTACAGTGTACTAAATTTGGTACAAATTGAATTGGGGATAAACCGATGGATTTGGAATCCTGAAACTTGGATTTAGGATCACTGGGGGGTGTAGGATTGGGGTATGTAGGAAGTTTTGGAAATTGGTACTACTATGTACTTAATTTGGTACAATTTGAATTGAGGGTGAACCGATAGAGTTGGAATCCTAAAACTTGGATTTAGGATCATTGTGGGGGTGTAGGATTGGGGTATGTAGGATGTTTTGGAAATTGGTACTACTGTGTACTAAATGTGGTACAATTTTAATTGTGGGCGAACAGATAGAGTTGGAATCCTGAAACTTGGTGTAAGGATCACTGTGGTGGTGTAGGATTGGGGTAAGTAGGAGGTTTTGGAAATTCGTACTACTGTGTACAAAATTTGGTACAATTTGAATTGTGAGTCAACCGATAGAGTTGTAATCCTGAAACTTGGATTTAGGGTCACTGTGGGTTTGTAGGGTTAGGGTATGTTGGAGGTTTTGGAAATACATACTACTGTGTGCTAAATTTGGTACAATTTGGATTGTGAGTGAACCGATAGCGTTGGAATTCTGAAACTTGGAATTAGGATCTCTGTGTAGTGTAGGTTTGGGTTAAGTAGGAAGTTTTGGAAATTCATACTACAGTGTACAGTCATTATGGGGGTGTAGGATCGGGGTATGCAGGAAGTTTTGTTGGAAGTAGAAGGGTACGAAAAGTACTAAAATGTACCAAATATGGTACCCTTTTTATTAGCGAACTGAAGAGCTAGAATTCTGAAATTTGGAATGTTGGTCACTGATGGAAAGTTAGAATGATGTGCAAAGGGTTTTTGGAAATTCGACCTATAAGTGTACTAAAGGTACTAAACTTTACTGAATTTACTTCCTGTTGTATATATATTGAACATATATAGCATGAATCTTGACATATGAAATGGAATACTGGTTGGGAAGTAGTGTTGATGTACGGAAATAAGTACATTCGTACTTATGTGTATAAAAAGTGTAAAATGGTACTAAATTTCGTACTATTTACATTCAGTTGAGTGTGTAGAGATGGAATCTTGATAATCGGAAATAGCTTTAAAAAATCGTACTTATTTGTACGAAAAGTACTAAATGGTACTAAATTTGGTGGAAGTTGGATTTAGGTGAACAGACAGAGCTGAAGTCTTCAAATTGGGAATTAATATGACTGTTGGAATGTAGGACTGAGGTAGATTATGAAATTCGTACTTATTGGTACGAAAGGTACTATATGGTACTAAATTTAGTACAAATTGGATTTTGCTTGAAAGGATAGAACTGAAAACCTGAAATTTGGAATTAAGATTTCTGTTGAAGATTGAGCTATAGAGACTTCTTTGGAAACTCGTATTTATGTGTACGAAAAGTACTAAACTGCACTAGATGGATTTGGGTGAACGGAGAGAGCTGGAAACCCATAATTTGGACTAATGGTTGATGTTTAAATATAGAATTGAGATATGGAAGCATAGTACCTATGTGTACTAAATAGTACTATATTTCGTACAACTTGATTATGTGTGAACGGATAGAGCTGGACTCCCGAATTTTTTAATTAAAATTACTGTTGGAGTGTAAGATTGACATAGTTTAGGAAATTGTTAATTATAGAAACAAAAAGTACTAAATGGGTCCGGAAATCTTACAAATTTGTAAACGGATAGGGCTGTATTCTAAAATTTTTAATTAATATTACAGTTTGAGTGCAGAATTGAGATATGTCGGTAATTTTTTAAAATTCGTCATTATGTGTACTAAATGGTAAAAAAATAGGTACAATTTTGATTCGAGTTAACGGATAGAGATAGTAAACGTAAATTTGTAATTAAAATTGCAAGATTAAGGAAGTATTGGAATTTCGTACTTATGGATACGAGAAGACCTAATTGGTACTAAATATGGTACAATTCGTTTTGTGTGAGCGGGAATCCTAATATTTGGACTTAAAAATAATTTGGAACAATTTGGACTTTGGTGGAAGTAAGGTTAGGATTGATGGATTGATGTAGTTTTAGAAATTCTTACCTATGAGTATGAGAATTACTAAATGGTACTAAATTTGAAACAATTTGGATTTGGTTGAATCTTGAGATTTGGAACTTAGATTACTGTTGAAGTGTAGTATTGAGCTATGGAGACAACTTTGGAAACTCGAATTTATGTGTACCAATAGTATAGAATAGAAAATTCACTAAACTTGGATAACGGAGAGAGCTGGAAACCTAAAATTTAGAATGTTGGTCATTGACAGAGAGTTAGAAAGAAGGACCAAAGGGTTTTTGGTACTAAATTTAGTGGAGGTGACGGTGTTCGAAAAGTTCTAAATGGAATTACATGTGGAACCTGTACGTTTTTGCTAAAGTGTGGATTTCGGAAAATAGTGCTTATGTGTATGAAGAGTAATTAATGGTAATAAACTTGATATTAAATGTAGGAATAGAGGTGGAATTCAGAACTATAGTACAACTAATTATACGGTATTAACCATTTCCATATGAAATATTTTTTTATTCCCTTTCCGCATACGAAGTAGCGGGTACTTTGCTAGTTTTTATATAAATGAACAATATGCAGTTTATTTTCATTTTTTATTCGAGTTGTTTTTATTCCAGCTAATTGCTGATTAGTATGGATGAAACATACCTTTTTCATTGTCCGCATGCAGTGGTCCAACACTGCCAAAGAAACGTTTATCGAGAATTTGTAGTAGCAACAATGCCGTAGAATGGACTTCAACACGAGGACATCCTGTCATGAGTAATGTGACGGTTATAACGGATGTATAATGATCACAGGGATATTCTCTGAAAAAAAGAAATACACACAAAAAGAGTATCAATAAATAAAAATTCAGTATAAAAAGTGTGTTCAAAGGTATCGGAAAATTTTAAATATTGAACAAAACAAACTTTGCGTAAATAAAAAGTATGAATTTTTTTATAAATCGAACGCCCATGTTTTGAGTACCCGCAAATTTTGGTATTTTATGGATTTCAGAAACATTTTTCAAACGAATTGTCTGTAACTAAACATATTTTCGGAATACATTGTGTGGCAAAAATTTTCAGCGTAAAAATTACCTATATCGGTCCATGATCATCTATAGACTCCAGATGATAGCACGGCCTATGTTTCGTTATTGTGTGTATTTCAGATATGTTTTTATACCCTCCACCATAGTATGGAGGGTATATTAATTTTGTTTTCCGTTTGTAACTTATCGAAATAATCATTTCCGACCCTATAAAGTGTGATCATGTCCGTCGGCCTGTTGTAATCTCTCTAGCCTCTAAACGAAATGGGATAGATCGCAAAAATTTAGCATAGATTCGTCTTTTGTCTGCAGGTCAGGTCAAGTTCGAAGATGGGATATATCGGTCCACGTTTAGGCATAGCTTCCATATAAGGTTTTAGAGCGCGTTTTTCAACCGAATTCGCTGAAATTTGGTACACTGGGTTTTTATTGGATACAAAATCTCTCCACAAAAAATTATTAATATAGGTCAATTTTTTCGGATAGCCCCATATAAGGGTATCCCCCAATTTTCAGTATTTTGGGGTTCTTAATCGCGTTTTTCAATCGAATTCGCTGCATTTTGTAGTATTTTATAGTATACCATAAGGTAACAAATCTCCCCACCAAAAATTATTAATATTCGCCCCCTTTTTGGGGTAGTCCCCATATAACCGCCTTTTTTATATTAAACAGTTATCTGATTTGTTCCGCGTTTTGGATTTGGTTCTAAGACTCTGTTGTAATGTTTTCACCTGCGGAGAATATCGAGATAAAAACAAGAACGTAAGGTTCGATAATGAGCTATACATGAACTATAACCTGCATTTAGGCCTACCCCTTGTGTGGGAGGTACCAAAAGGAGTGGAACGATATTCCCCATCTTCGAACTGGAACTAAGTTTGGAAGTAATAATAAGATGGGCAATGTTTGGATGAAATCAAAATTTTCTGAAACAAATTTGGTTCAAAGAAACATGGGGTCAAGAACCAATATTTCGATAAGGCACATTTTCACCATGTCAAAGTGTATGTACCCTCATTAGCCATAAGGCTGGAGGTATAACTATCCATTAAAATTTTCTGAAATTTTTATTTTTGTTTACATTAGGGTTTACATAATCGATATGTAGAAATGCCGATATAGGTCCACTTACTCGTATTTTCCCTATATTTGCATTTCAAGTACCTGTCAGTATATCTATGGTGTAGGGTATCCAAACTTATCGCTTTTCCACTTGTTAGTTAAAACGAGTTAGGCTAGGCTCTAATTTGATATTCTGAGTTATCATTCGGTGCCAAATTTACAAACCAAAAAAAATATATCTTTAGGTATAAACTGCGTAACAATCTTTAGCCCTCTTAAGGGAACCCCACCCATTCTTGATTTCAAATTTTCAAGATTTTCAATGGGCTGGTAAATCAATACCAATGCTTGTTAAGGTTTGTAACTTTGCACATATATATTTGAAGATTTAAAAGAGAAGAAAAATAATTTTCAAAAAAATTTTTGTTATTGTTTTGTTGTTGTTTTTTGTAATTAAAGAAAAGTCCTTATTTTTGATGGCGGGCATGATAACTCCTCACTGGAGCATCGGAATCCGAAAATTCCAACGGTGTTAGAAAGAGTACATGGCGGGCATGATAACTCCTCACTGGAGCATCGGAATCCGAAAATTCCAACGGTGTTAGAAAGAGTACATGTCTGGCTCTCGTATGAACTAGGATTATTGACTTCTCTCTAAAATTAACAAAATGGCGGACCTTTGAAAAAATATTTTTGAAAAATCGCCGATTTTTGACCAAAAACCAAGTTAAAAAATAAGGAAGATCTTCACCGATTGACTTTATCCTCGATGCATTTTCCAGTCTACATGACTATATTTTAGCATTCGGTGTTGCTCTAATATGGTATTCCGGAACATTGCTGGGTAAACAGATTCTTCGCCACTACACTGTGTCAAAAGTGCCAAAAGATATTTATTAGCAAATAAACACCTGAGATAACAGCCGATGCCACAAAAACACAAACACACTTAATATACGATATGTACTGATTTTCATAATTCATTGGCGAAAGGGAATTATGTGCATACGTGTGTGTAGATGTCTACGTATGGGTGATATTTAGTGAGTACATATTGTGGAAACAGAATGCATTTCTGTTTTATTGTAGTGGTGTAATCGTCCTTTCAAAATTTAATCATATTTCACTAGAATTACTTGGCATTATCACGCTACATGCATGTGTGTTTGTGTGCTACTTTGCTACCCAATAAGAATCCAAAAATTTCCAATTGCATTCACATTGGTTGAAAATTTTGTCAATATCGAATCGAAAACCTACTGCAAAATTACAGTCCATTCGGTCTAAAAATGATTCCAAAACGCCAAAATATTGATAATTAAAAATTGCTGTTATATGGGGGTTATACCAAAACTTGGCTCTATATAAATTTCTAGAACCATCAAACCGTATTTCGTTCAAAGTCGTAAAAATCGGATCGAGCAAATGACTCCTGAGCACACAATTTATTCCATGCGATTGGATCACTCAAATCCAAATTGTACGAAAATTTGTACCATTTAGTACACGTAACTAAGAATCTCCAAAAATTCCTACATAAGTACAAATTTCTATTATTACCTATATCATACAAACCAATAGAAATATTCGCCCATGTGACATGTTCCGAGAGTTTTTGAATTCCCATACTTTTTTAAATTCCCATGTTGTGCAAAATGGTGTGCTCAATTTCGAGCGAAAGTGGGAATTCGGAATGGAGCACACAAAATTTGGGAAAATGTTTCACATTCGAGCAAACTCGGAATGCAGCACATGGGCGATAGTACCATTTAGTACTTTTTGTACACATAAGTATACATTTCCAAAAAGTAACAACATATCCGAATGCTAAACTCTGACGGTAATGTTGATTTCAAATTTCAGGATACCAGCTTCATACGTTCCTCCAAATTCAAATTGTATCAAATTTAGTACCGTTTAGTACTTTTCGTATACATGAGTACATACTTCTAACGCAATCTCCTTATGTCGATTCAAATTTGAAGTTTTTAGCTCTATCCGTTCACATGCAACGAAATTGTACCAAATTTAAGAGGTACTAAATTTCGGATACTTACAGTACGAATTGTGTGAACGACTGAAGGCAATGGTCAATGACATTATTGGAGCATACACCTGGACACATTCCACCTATTCGTCATCTCTAAAGTCGCATTCGACAGCCATGTTCAGAGGTGCTTTAAGCCATGTCTGCGTTAGGCATTCCTACGAATTTAATACGGCTATGCAGGATTACTTTAACCGACACAAGATCAGCACTTAAAATGGGAAAGGACCTCTCGGAGCCCTTCAATACCAAACGATTCAGACAACGAGAATGATTCAGAAGGTGACCGTCGAGTGATCTTTTTAACATCCTGCTGGAAAAGAACATATGTGAGATGGCACTCTGTACACCAAACAACACATCGCCTACGCCGATGACATCGATATAATGGGTCGAAAATTACGAGCGGTACATTTGCTACATTTGAACAAATTGAGGAGTCTGTCAAAGTGGGTCTGGTAGTAAATGCCGAGAAGACCAAGCTGATGGTATCAACGCTTAAGTGGTCCAGTAGACTCGGACCAACTGTGGAACTTGAGATCTAAAGCATCGAGGTAGTCAAAGATTTTATATAGCTTGGTACCGCCATTAATAAAACTAACGACATCAGTTTTGAAATCCGGAGAAGAATAGTGTTGGCCAACAGATGCCACTATGGTCTAAGTAAGCAATACAAAACCAAGGCCACCTCTCACCAGACCAAACTCACACTCTACAAGATGCCGAAACTACCATTGTTGGTGTGCATCATCTACTTGCGCAAGTAGATGATACAGCTCTTGGGGTGTTTAAGAGAAAAATTCTCCAGAAGATCTATACACCGATCTACGTCGGCGGTGAATATCGCCGTAGAATGAGCCATTAACTGCAGCGACTACGTTGGCTAGGTCATGTTATGAGAATAAATGAGGATGCCCCAGCTCAAAAGGCATATATAAGCATGCCAAGTGATGGTTCACGCTGAAGGGAAAGGCCACGAATTCGATAGAAAGATTAAGTGAAAGATATCTCGGAACATGTTGGAGCATCTCAAATTGGAAAAGCTGCGCACAAGACCGACGCGCCTGGAAATCTTTTTTAAGTTCGGCATATGGAACAAAGCAAAAGTTCGAATTTCCAAAAAAAAAAACAGTATAGTCGGACGGGGCCGACCATACGATACCCTACACAACTACCACGGAGTTCTAACTTTCTGCGGAAGTTTACTCCGATGTTTACTCGTGATATTGCATCCTCTTGCCCGATTAGAGGTCAACAGAACCTTTTCCTTGCATTTTCGAATATTCAGTAAAGCCCTTCTAATTACTTGTCCAGATTCCCTTCACGGTGGGTTGTGTTGTGATGTTCGGATTATATTCGACTCGAAAACACACAAAAAATTATATTCTCCGTCCATTTCATCTCAAAATTTTAATCTGATCATCACCGAAAATTATAAGCCTTGTCCTTGACCACAACTGGAACTTCATGAAAAATTTCAAAGCGATCAGCGCTATATTTCCGTTCTCTAATTTCGTAATGGGTTACTAAATAATGTCTGAATACGTAAGCACCTGTACATATTTGAGTGTAACTCCCACATCCGAGTACATACAACAATATAATTGGTATCAATTTAAAGGTCAACCACTCCTCTTGGATATACTACCAACTACTCATCTCTATGTCCTTCAGGGGCAAATATATATGCTATATAATACAAATTTTGTCATTTTTCACACAAAAGTCAGGGTCCATTTGACCCGCTAAATATTGACCGATCTTTATCAAAACTGGCATGACTATTCTTCGGCCCAATCCCCTTTTCCATGTAAAAATTCGCGATGTTTGGGCCATAATTGCGGCCTCTGGAGCGACCAGAAAAACCGACAAAAATTAAGTATTTGGTCCATTTCATCCCCTAAATATTAACCGATCTTTTCCAAAAACAATAGGGGTCTTCATTGGCCAGAACCCATCCTACATGAAAAATTTCGTAAAGATTGGTCCATAACTGTGGCCTGTATCGTGTTTACAAATTATAATGGACAGACGGACGGACACACATGTCTAGATCGACTCAGCTAGTCGAGATATGACGATCGGTATACTTAAAGGGGGGTCTAGGACCAATATTTCGCGGCGTTACAAACTCTTGGGGCTGCACAAAGCTATAATACCCTGACAACATAGTTGTGTGGGGTATAAAAAGAAAAAAACATCCTGCACTCCATTAATGATCCAAATGTTCAGAGTTCTAGCTCTACCGGTTCCATATTTAGTACTTTTCGTGCCGCCAAAAATCCACCACCAAAAATCTGTCACCAATGGACTAAGAGTTACCCTTGCCCCAAATTTGAAGATTCTAGCATCAGCCGTTTCGTCTGGGTGTTGATGAATCGTTAAGTCAGTCAATCACTCAGTCTGATGGATTTTTCACTTCTGGGTTCTTTATACCCTACACAACTATGTTGTCAGGGTATTATAGCTTTGTACAGCCCCAAGAGTTTGTAACGCCGCGAAATATTGGTCCTAGACACACCTTTTTTCGTTTTATACCCTCTAAGGGCTTTCATCGCCATAAGGAATTTTCCATTCCTCGATTTTCTTCACATGTATTATCGACGGATAACTAAATACCTACCTTGCACTAAATATAGCCGCCAATGCCAGAAAGCAAGCATCCGCCTCTCTGGGTGCTGAGGTATAACAACGATCAATAACCCATTCCAATAATTGGCCCATATCTGGATTGCATTCCAATAGTAGAACGACCGTATCACGAGCCAATTGATAAATCTGCAAATATGACAAAAGGACAAAAATTCAGATGTAAACGATTTAAGAACCCCTAAAGGTTTAACATAGCAAGTGATGTACGACGGAAATAAACCCCCAAACCGCCAACCTCTTACCTTTTCATCTTTGGAGGCCAACAACATGTCAAGCCATTTGTAAATGATGCCATCGTCTGATAAATAGGGCGTATAAAAAACATGACCACAGCACAAGAGAGCCGACATTGCCTGGAATCAAGAACGTAGAAAAAAAGGAGTGGCATAAAGACTACACTGTGAAGGAGCTAGCAAAGGATAAATGTAAACACTTACTTGTAATGCGCTGAACTGTAACTTTTCCTCTTCGGGCGATTGGCCAATCTGTTGAGCGGCTATGCCCAATGGCTTGGCAAAATTACCGGACCAGGTGGCAAATAAATTGAATAAATTACGTTTTAAATCACGTGTCAATAGGGTGGCACAGGATTCAACTGGATAGAGAGGGAGAGAGATCAAAAGGACCATAAGAGGAGAATAAAAGAAAGTACGTGTAAAAATACCATTAAATTCATGAAAAGGTTTATATAACTATCAAATTTATTTGTTCGTGAGCTTTGGCAATTCTAACTACATATATACACACATATAAACACCAGATTATGTTTGCAGTTACTTACGAGAAAAGTTCTTTATCATCTTCCGTATGAAATTGCAAAAGTGCGCCTTGACCTCACGAATGCTGATGTTGTCCTTGTCCGTTTCGGCCAAAAGATATTGCATCGCACCGTCTATATACTCAACAAATGTCGGATGTAACGACATTGTATCACGTTCCAGGACACAAGTGCTGCAAAAAATAAATCGACAAAATGTAAAAAAAAATGAAATGAAATGACAAACAAATAGCGGAAGAAGGAACACACACGCACACCCTCATCCGAACATGTCAGGCGGAAGATAAATGTTGAAGGAGTACAAAAAGCAAACATGTTATTAGGTCGCTGCGAAATAATTTTTGTTAACTTTAAATGAGTTTTTGTATTTTATTTTTTTTAATGTGGAATGACATAAAACTTTCAACATTAAATCCAAAGTTATTTGGAAATAATAGTTTTTGGGTTTCATCAGGTCTTTTATAGCCTTCACCACACCGTGGTACAGGCTGAGTCGATTTATGCATGTCCGTACATGTATTTTTGTGAGCAAAGTACAGGTCGAATATATCATCCGAATTGAATGAAATTTGACACAGCTCATCTATTTGGTCCAAGGACTGACCCTATGAAATTGGTGAGATTCGGTTCAGATTTAGATATAGCTCCCATATATATTTTCGTCCGATTTAATGTAAATGGTGCACCAAAGTCCCCATATATCTTCCAATTTGCACCAAATTTGTCATAGCGTACTGTATTAATTCTAGAATGCTGTGAGTTAAGTTTCGTGAAAATCGGTTCAGATTTAGATATATCTCCCATATATACTTTCGTCCGATTTTAGGTAAACGATGCACTGAAGTCCCTATATATCTTTTAATTTGCACAAAATTTTGCACAGCATACTGAATTAAGTCTAGAATGATGTGTGTTAAGTTTCGTAAAGATCGATGCAGATTTAGTTATAGCTCCCATATATATTTTCGTCCGATTTAATGTAAATTGAGACTAGAATAATGTCATTGCGTTTTGTTGAAATTGGTGCAGATGCAGACATAACTTCTATATATATTTCGAACGGGTGTCTGATTGAGATTTAATTTTGAACAGTGCGGCTCACCGAATAGCGTGTATCAAGTTTGCTATACATCGATTTATATAAATTTGTCCCATTTTACGCAAACGACTCTAAATCTGCCCGAATGAAATTGAATTTGTCATAGGTTGTAAAATGGGATGTGTATGGTTCGATGTTAGTCGGTTCACTTATAGATAAAGATCACATATTTGAGTTCGTTAAATTTCATATCAAAGCCGACGCCTGTTAGGATACGTATGTAGAATATACCCAAATTGGTGAAGGGTATCATATAGTCGGGCCAGACCTACTTTACTACATTCCTCCTTACTGGTTTAAATTAATTTCTGTGAAAATATATTTTGTGTGTTGTTTTTTTATTTTTACTGAAGCTGGACAGTAAAATGAGTGCCAAGCGGATACATTTGATTATTGGAGTGCAACAAACCTAATTAAAAAAAATATCAGTCGATGTTACAAAGCATGGCATAATTATGGAAAATATTCTCATAATAAGGGTTGGGAAAATTTGTATGTATGATACAATTTTTTTTATGTGTGATAAGTCAAAATATGGACCTATTGACAAATTACTGGGTGGCATAGAGGATGATAGATACCAAGCAACGGCTCTGATTGGCTTTAATATGGCGAAGCACAGGCTTATCTTGGTGTCTCTCTCATCACAATTGTGGACACTGACCTCCCCATCACCCGTTGAAATAGTGAGCTGATATGTACCGTGAGTTCACCCATAAGAACTATAAAAAATGGGTTGAGGCGTCGGCTTAGTTGCCCACACTCGGAAACCCCCTCCTACTATGAAAAAGAAAAGCAAAAGAAAACCAAACCCCTTATGTTGATGACCCCCGCAAACGTATAAAGGACCACGATGTGCGAATCTCAAGAAGTACAATGCCAATATTATTACTTTACAGGAAATGCGATGGAAAGGGACGGGCGTAAATAAATTAAACGATTAAGCACTGTATTATAGCTGCCATGAAACGAGACATGAATTTGGCTGCGGATTTATGGTTAACAGGAGAATAAAAGACCTCGTCTCCAGATTCACTCCAGTAGATGAGCGAATTGTTATAATCCGCATAAAAGCGAAGTTCTTCTACATCAGACTTATTTGCGCCCACGCTCCAACCGAAGACAAAGATGAGCAGACCGAAGACATATTTTACGAGCGCCTAGGAACAGCATGTGATCGCTGCCCTGGCCATGACATTAAAATTCTGCTAGGAGATTTTAATGCGGAAGGGAAAATATTTTTGGCTCCATCGTCAGAAAATTCAGCCTTCACGAAGAAACATCCGACAACGGCATGAGGTTGATTGACTTCGCGGCATGAAAAAACATTGTAGTTAGCAGCACCAGATTCAAACATCTCGATATACACAAGGTCACCCGGATTTCTCCTGATCAAGCAACAAGAAATCAAATTGACCATGTTTTGATAGATGGAAGGCATTCATCCAGTGTATTAGATGTTCGATCGATCCGAGGAGAGAATATCGATTCGGACCACTACCTTGTTGCAGCCAAGGTTCGCACTCGTCTTAATGTTGCAGCAAAGGTGCGATCTAACACAACACGGGAACACGACATGGAAAAGCTGCAAACACAACAAATAGCCGAGGCCTACTCCGCTCAACTTACCCACCTGGTTGACGCAAACACTTTTTGTCCCCATAAAAGTATAGAAGCACATTGGCAAAGAATTGCTCACTCCCTACACACTGCAGCAAAAGCAACACTTGGGTACCAAAAACCACCACTAAGATACCCATGGTACGATAAGGAGTGTCGTAATGCTACTGATGTGAAAAACGCAGCGTATAGGGCAACCCTGCAGACAGTAGCAAAACTTAATGTGATGGAGAATTATCGGGAGAAAAGGAGAGAGGAGAAACGTGTTTTCAGTAAAAAGAAGAAAGAACAAGAAAAACGTAAGCGTGAGCAAATCGAGATGTACAGGTGTCAGAATGAAGTCCGAAAATTTTACCAACGAGTAAAACACCAAAACGAAGGTTTTTGACGCAGGCACATCCTCCTGTACAAATGAAGAAGGAAATCTGGTAACGGATACAGACGTCGCGTTGATGATATGGAAGAAGAATTTCGAAAAGCTTCTGTTATCAAATAGTGGCGGTGAAGAAGTTACCACAGAAACAATATGAGATGATGATATAGAGTGTATACCACCCTAGCCAAGATAAGGTCATAAAAGCAATTAATCGGCTCAAGAACAATAAAGCAGCAGGAGCCGATGGGTTACCAGCCGAACTATTCAAGACTGATGGTCAGATGCTGGTAAGGAGCATGCACCAGCTGATTAGTACAATTTGGCTAGAGGAATGCATGCCCAATGATTGGAACCTCACCATCCTGTGTTCCGTGCACCAAAAAGGAGATACGACGATATGTGCCAACTATAGAGGAATCAGGCATATAAAGTGCTATCGAGTGTGCTGTGTGAACGATTGAAGCCAATGGTCAATGACATTATTGGACCATACCAATGCGGCTTCAGACCTGGCAAATCCACCATTGACCAGATTTTCACTCTGCGCCAAATCCTGGAAAAGACCCAGGAAAAACACATCGACACATACCACCTATTCGTCGACTATAAAGCCGCATTCGACAACCCTATCCATTCGGAGGTTTTTAAATTCGAATGAACCACGAGCTTTACAATTTATACACGGACATCGACATAGTCAGTCGTATTGAGCTGCACCGACTACGGTGGCTAGGGCATGTTGTGCGAATGAATGAGAATGGCCCAGTTCAAAAGGCATATAAAAGCGAGCCTACTGATGATTCCCTTAGAAGAGAAGGCCACGAATATGATAGAAAGACCAAGTAGAAAACAACATCTTGGAACGTGGTCTTTCAAATTGGAGGTGATGCGCACAAGACCAACGTGCTTGGAAATCATTTTTTGCTCGGCTTATGGAACAACGGTTCTGTAACTAGCCAGCTATGTAAGTAAGTATTGACATATCACTTGCTAATTTCCACCAACTCGACTGTCAAAATATTACCACTAACATCTTTTATCATACAATTTTTTATCCACACAAATTTCTATATACTTTTTTCCATTTTTACTTCGTTTGCTTTACATTTTGATTTATATTTTATTATTTTCTTTTTTCTCATCACATCACATCTATTCATTCGGTACTTACCTAACGCCAAATGTTCCATTTTCAGCGATTTTCTCCAAAACCCTTACCAACTGCAAACGCAAAGCATCTCGTCTACGACGACGCCGCATATTTTCCTGTTTACGGTCAACAGCTTCACGAATATAGACAACCAGCTCTTCCATTAGATCTCTGAAGAAGAAAAATAAAGAAATAAACATATAGAATTAGTTGTCATTGTTGTATAATTACAAAACAACAAAATGTTATCAACACTAAGGGTACTCTACAATCAGACACATATGATAGTGCATTTCTGGGAATGCAGAGAAAAATACACTCACGTGCCAAATACATTGTTAGCGGAAAATTGTAGTAATAGAAAAACAAAAATATTCTCCGCAAATTCCAAAATAATATTATAATGATGAATGTTGAAATTTGTCGCTTTGCATAATTTTAATGACATTGTTGAAACCCAAACAATTTAGAGGACATTTTGAAAATTGATTATAAAATAATAATTTATCTGAATGTGAAAAATTACATTGGTTAATAATTGTAGCTAACACTGTGAGACAAAGTGGAGGTCATCGTTTGGGAAGTTGAAAATTCCTATTGGATGTGAAAGACCTTGGCGAGCATATGAAAACCCCAGGATGCAAAAATTCACCATAGGTCAAAGTTCGGAGATATGGCGTGACCCCCTAAGATACACGAAGAGGTAGCTTCATACTTGATTTTAAAAGCTATTATTTGTATTTTTTGGGATTAAATTTCCTTGGAAAAGTCTAAAACGTACTAAATTGAACCGTAAAATTATCGGTTTTATTATCCGAATATCCGGTTCAAAATTTTAGAAACCCGGTTCCTTCTACCTCGAAATTAGTTTCATACGTATTTCGCATAAAAATATAGTTTTAGAAAAAAATTTGAACGAATATCTCTTATTATCTAAATATCCGGTTCAAAAAATTTGGAAGCCCGCTTCCATACTTACTCGCATATTTTGTCTATCTATATATGTTTTTAATAAATAATTCGGACGTATCCGACGGTTCTTCATAATATGTATTTTATACTGAATTATATAAATATAGGGTTTTAGTGACCAGGAACGGGTAAAATTGAGTATAGACCTTGTAAATGTTAAAATAACGATTTATCGTCTTTGAGAAACGCACATAAAATCTTATGAGCAACATTTTTGTAGAACAATGCGAGGATGAAAAATCACAACTTGAGATAATTGTAGTGCGATTCAATAAATTAAGAACAAGAAGGACATACAAGGAATCGAGTTAGAAGGACTAAATGTTTTACAAAAAAATTCCTCATTTGATTTTACTACAGAATACATACAATAGTTACAAATCAAGATGTGAAGCTATATCTTCAATTATAATAGGGTCGCCAGCAAACAAAATTATCACGCCATATCTCCGAACTTTAACCAATGGCGAATTTTTCCTTCTGGGATATTCATATACTCACGAGGGTCTTTCATCCGCAATAGGAATTTCCACCCTTCCACAAGAAATTTAGTTCAGTCAGGACGAAAGACATTCGGAATACCAAAAATTGATCGGTACATTGTAATGTGGACAATGTCATGATCAAATTTTTGTAAATTCTGTTGAATATCGTGAATATTTCCTTTTTCCGATATTCGAGGAGATGTGAACAATCATCGCCATCGCCAACAATCATCATTATAGCTTTGTGCAGCCACAAGAGTTTGTAACGCCGCGAAATATATTGGTCCTAGACACACCTTTAAGTATACCGATCATATCTCGACTAGCTGAGTCGATCTAGACATGTGTGTCCGTCCGTCCATCTGTCCGTCTGTCCATTAAAATTTGTAAACACAATACAACAGGCCACAGTTATGGACCAATCTTCACGAAATTTTGTATGTAGGAAGGGTTCGGCCCAATGAAGACCCCTATTGTTTTTGGTAAATATCGGTTAATTTTTAGGGGATGAAATGGACCAAATACTTAATTTTTGTCGGTTTTTCTGGTCGCTCAAGAGGCTGCAGTTATGGTCTGAACATCTTAAAATTTTATATGGAGAAGGGGATCGGACCAAGGAATAAGCATGCCTGTTTTGATAAAGATCGGTCAATATTTAGCGGGTCAAATGGACCCTGACTTTTGTGTGAATAATGACAAAATTAGTATTCTATAGCATATGTATTTACATAGACCCAAGAAGTTGATAGTATATCCAAGTATAGTGGTTGACCTTTAAATTGATACAAATTATATTGTCGTATGTACTCGGATGTGGGAGTTACAGGTAAGTATTTACAGGAGCTTACGTATTCAGATATTATGTAATAAACCATTACCACACTAGAGGGCGGAAATATAGCGCGGATCGCTTTCAAATGTTCCAGTGTAAGGAAGAAAATATGTCAGTGTAAGGAAGAGGTGCTGTTGACCTCTAATCGGGCAAGAGGGTGCAACTATCACGAAATATTACCCAAGCTCGGAATAAAAGTCCGCAGAGAGATAGAGTTTTGTGGTAGTTGTGTAGGGTATCGTATGGTCGGTCACGTCCGACTATACTGCTCTGCTTACTGGTGTTTTATATGTTTTTCATGGAAAGCTTTTTAAACATTTCAATTGCAATTCAAAAATTTCATTTGTAATTCGAAAAATCCGTTTGCAATTCATAACATTTCGATTGTAATTCGAGTATGTAATTGGTAATTTACAACATTTCATTTGAAATTTTAAAGTTTTGCCATTAATTCAAAGAAATTTATTTACAATTCAAAGAATTCAATTTGAAATTCATAACATTTCACTTGTACATCACAAAATATTTCAGTTGTAATTCGTAACAATTCGTTACCAATAATATTCTGCGAATTTAAAATTAAATGTTATGTAACGAATGTTAATAAACGAATGAAATGTTTTGTATTTCAAATAAAATGTTATGAATTTCAAATGGAATTATTTGAATTTCAAATGCAACCCTTTGAATTTCAAATGCAATTCATTGCATTTCAAATGGAAATATACGGATTTTAAATTAAATTCTTTGCATTTCGAAAGGTGTTCATTGAATTACAAATGAAATTCTGGAATTACAACTGATATGTTGTGAATTGCAAATGGAAGTTGTGAATTATAAATGGAATTCTGGAATTACATTTTATGTATTTTGAATAACATATGAAAAAAGGTGGAGAATAGAAATTGAATTGAATATTGTAATATTCTTAAGAGTAATATATTTATATACAGTGGTGGTCACAGAATTAAAACATTTACTGTGGTAAACATTTTTTGATCAGCCCTCGATTCGTTTGAAGTATTTTTGAAAATTTTTTAATTCAGAACACTTCGATATACTGCACTCAAGAGATTTAGTGTGAAAATGGAAAATTATTTCATGCAATTTTTCCATAAATAACGGTTTTTATGAAAATACATCGACTTTGAAGTGACCATATAATTAAAACATTGTGTGATTTTTTACTTGACTGCATTTTTTGAAAATATTTTTTAAAAATGCTCTTTAATTTAGTTAAATTATGTAAACTAAGCACCGATAAAATCATTTACTGATAAAAATTTTTGAAAAAAATCTGTAAAATCTATCAAAAATGCCAAAAATGTGTTCAGTACACCTTACATTCAGAAAAAAACCTTATTATAGAAAATAAAGGTCCGAATGCACCAGAAATTGCTAGAATTAGTAGAAAACAATAAATAATTCTCAAAATAAATAAATATTTGAAATAAAAACTCAAAAAATTGGAATTAACCTAAAAGAACGATTCAATTTCGATAGCCTTTATTGAAGAAGGCCGGAATATTTTTGCAGTATGTGAGGAAATATCGATTGATATTGGCATTTATTATATCAAAGCGATTGTTCGAGTAGTACAGAATATATTTTATCAAAAAATATATCAGTTACAACAGAACGAACAGAGATCAACGCCTATGTTGTCGAGTAAAAGTTTCTGCACACAGCAGCATTTTTGATGCTCAACTCAAGACTTTAAATATTTGTCAAATTGTAAAATTTTTCTTTCTTTTAGGCTAAAATAGATTAAATGGGCATTATTCTATTCAAAAAATATTATTTTGGAAAAATATTGTCATGTTCAATAGATTTTAAGGGTCAAGAGTTAACCATCAAACATGCTGCTGTATACCAGAAACGTTTTCTCGTCAACATAGGTGTTGATCTCTGTTCGTTCTGTTGTGACTGATAATTTTTTTGATGAAATATATTCTGTACTACTCGAACAATCGATTTGATATAATAAATGCCAATATCAATCGATATTTCCTCACATACTGCTAAAATATTCCGGCCTTCTTCAATAAAGGCTATCGAAATTGAATCGTTCTTTTAGGTTAATTCCAATTTTTTGAGTTTTTATTTCAAATATTTATTTATTTTGAGAATTATTTATTGTTTTCTACTAATTCTAGCAATTTCTGGTGCATTCGGACCTTTATTTTCTATAATAAGGGTTATTTTCTGAATGTAAGGTGTACTGAACACATTTTTGGCATTTTTGATAGATTTTACAGATTGTTTCAAAAAAATTTTATCAGTAAATGATTTTATCGGTGCTTAGTTTACATAATTTATCTAAATTAAAGGGCTTTTTTAAAAAATATTTTAAAAAAATGCAGTCAAGTAAAAAATCACACAATGTTTTAATTATATGGTCACTTCAAAGTCGATGTATTTTCATAAAAACCGTTATTTATGGAAAAATTGCATGAAATAATTTTCCATTTTCACACTAAATCTCTTGAGTGCAGTATATCGAAGTGTTCTGAATTAAAAAATTTTCAAAAATACTTCAAACGAATCGAGGGCTGATCAAAAAACGTTTACCACAGTAAATGTTTTAATTCTGTGACCACCACTGTATATATATATATATAGCCGTTATTGATCTGATAACAAAATGGCTTCTAATAGTCTCATCATATATCCCATCTTTGGGAAAATTATTTAATTAACTCTCCTCTTATCGCATTCTTTTACTTTACCACCCAATTATTAATTTCTCAGGTTATGTTACTTGGAAGTGGATTAATTGGCATCATTCCAAGTAAGGCAAGTTGATATGATTTTCGTATCTATGTCTGATTCTGAAAATGTATTTGTACGCATTCCAAATTCAAAGTATTCTACTGTTGATGACAAAGATGCAAGGATCAAATTTTTATTGACACACGCTCACTCATTCACAATATTTACTGAATTTCGAAAATGTTATCCTCCATGAGTTTCCATGTGAACACAACCATTGGTAGCCTTTGAGGATGACACACTTCTATGCTGGGATAACTGTGACGCAGTGCATGTGTCTGCTGTTTAATGAGTTTACAATATGTCTAAGACTATTAAAATGAATTAAATGTGGGGGAGGGAATTCAGAAAATGAATCCAAGAATCAGAGACGCCAAATTGGAATAAAACCCTAAATATAACGGCCTTTGTATGGGAGGCATGGACCTATATTTATCAATTTTTTATCCACTAAGAAATGTGTATAGGATGGATGTTTCGATCGTAAAGTTCGACCAAAATCGATCGGAATATTTTCATATACGGGCCGATGCCCTGGTATGTATTTGCCCTCAGAAAACGAAATACCAAACTACAGACATTCAGGTTGGGAAATTCGGCAAGAATTTCCAAACATCTTGAAAATGACGTGTGACCTTTATATGGGGCTATGTAGAAATACGGACTTACAAGGACTTCTTTGATGTTGTTAACCGAACAAGTTCCTAGACTGAGTGGCTGGCTATACCTAAAGATTGAATGATATTTATAAATATATATATATATATATATATATTTTATATGAGGGGTACCGTTATATGGGGTCTACACCAAAACACTTAATGTTTTTCGGTTTATACCGCGCTTTTTGTGCTAGGCTATGAACGTTTCGAACTGTCCTCGTATTTATTCGGTGAATATTTCAAGAATAAGTAGATTTTTTAAATATTTAAATTACGGGGTTTTAACCGGATCTCGTATAATTTGCAGACGCCATAAGTCAATGGTCATGGTATTTCTATTTATTTTGTTTTTGTTGTTTTTTTTTCGTTTAATTTTATAATCTCCCTATTTTTCTATGATCCCTAAACCAAAGGTTATTTGGAAAATAATATTTTATTTATATATAATGTACTTACTTGAGAGCATCATGGTTAATCATTCCCAGAGCATTGACAGCAGCATCGCGAACATCGGCCACTTCACAGCGTAACAAGGGTACAACCAATTTGTATAATGCCTGTGGCGAGGCAGTGCCCAATGCTGATTTGTCGCTGCGGTCAGCATTTAGAGAATCGGGCGATGAACTGAAATATGAAGATAAAAAAGAAAATTAAATTTTATTTCAATTTTGTTTTTTCGAATCGTTTGATTTATTTTAATGTTTATATTTCAAACACAATCATATTTTATATTAAATTGCATTCACACAATATAATTTTGAAGAGCAAATGGAAACAATTTGTAATTAAAATTTGAATATTTACACAATTAAGAAATTCCAAAAACAGAAATTGCCGAAGGATAGGAGTGTGTGTAGGTGTGCGGGAGCTGGTAAAAGTAAGAAATGCATTCACATTGTGGAATTGTTTAAATAGTTTAGAAATTAGATAATAAAATAACAACAACAAAAACAAAGAAATATATATGTACATATTTAAAATTTTTTTGGAAACATATTTGTGGCATTTGGATTATGTAAACGTCAAACATCCAACCAAACATCGGACAAAAGAGAGAGAGAGAGAGAGAGAGAGTTAATAAATGAAATTCCGAGGATATCGGATTAACCGACATTACGAATATTCCATTTGAAGAAAAATTAGGGAATGGATTTTTTCAAATATAATAAGAATCCAAATCTATTAATCCGCCATTAATAACTAGCTTCATATTTCTTTATGGATCTGTCATAAATTATTTCCGATCAAATTAAATGCGATTTTATGACAAAATAGAATTTTAAATGTATATAAAAACGTCGTGAAGGTCGACGGGGAAGGACTATTTATAGCGTGCACCATGAGATGGACATTCCACAATATCCAAAAATTGTTTGGTGTACAGAGTGTCATTTCTGGTCACCTTCGCCTCTCATGTGACCTTTTCCAGCAGAATGTTAAAGAGATCACACGGCAAACTGTCACCTTATCTCAATCCTCGTTCGGTATTAAAGGCTCTGAGAGGTCATGTCCAACTTTAACTGCTGACCTTACACCAGTTAAAGTTATGCCTCTGAACGGATAGGGCTGTCGAATGCGACTTTATAGTCGACGAATAGGTAAAATGTGTCGATGGGTCTTTTCCAGGATTTGGCGCAGAGTGAAAATTTAGTCAATGGAGGATTTGCCAGGCCTGAAGTCGCATTGGTATGTCATATAATGTCATTGACCATTGCCTTGGCGATGGAAAGGAGACTTATTAATCTATAGTTGGCACATATCGGCACATATGCTGAGGTTCCAATCGTTGGGCATGCATTCCTCTAGCCAAATAGTACTAATTAGCGGCATCTGAACACCGGTCTTGAAAAGTTCGGCTGTTAATCCATCGGCACCTGTTGCTTTATTACTCTTTATTTAATTAATTGCTACTCTGACCTCATCTTGGCTAGGTGGTATATTGGTTCTGGGGTATCTTCTTTACCGCCACTATTCCAAGTTTCCATCTTCATCTCTACAGGAGGATGTGCCTGCACCAAAGTATACGGTTTGGTACGACACTCCTGATCGTACCATGGGTTTCTTGATGGTGGTTTTTGGTACCCAAGCAATTATTTCAGACTTCCGATGGGGTATCCAATGAATATTTCGAGATATTGCAAACGGAATGACCAAATTTAATCCGAATAGAGCTGTAAGTATTTTTTCGAATTTTGGGACGAAACTTTTAGCGTCCCAAGACTTTTGGGTCACTGTATCCAAAAATTTGATTTGTATCCTTTTCTCTTATCAGGATAATATATAGCACTGCTCGGGTACAGTTTTTTTCGATGATTTATGATGAGTGTGACCATATGGTCATGCTGTCACAGCTCGGGTTAATATACACTTCACCTTATGGTGAAGGGTGGGTGTAATACCTTTCATTTTAAATATTCAGTGGCTCACATTCAGTGTGACCGCTTAGCTGTATTTTATTTTTTAATTGACCTTATTTTAAAACTAAAATTGGAAATGACTTATGCCTTTTTTAAACCTTCCATTGAAGTTATCAAAGCGGCTTAAGTAAATCAACCGACAGAACATAGTTACTACATGTTTTTTTCCAAAAAAAAGAGAAGTTACTTACGTAGACCATAAAATGTTGCAAAGTATAACATGGTAAGGTGGGTAGGATTTATTTTAGTAAGAAATTTATAAATAAGGATAGTAGTGATACCGTGGGGCACCAGACTGTGAACGGTCACGCTGCCCGACCGTTTGCCAACCTGCTTTCCAAAATTACCCAGAATCGATAGCCCAACGTTTGGTATCCGAAGATTTTGGTGGCCATTGTGCGCTGGAACCTCATTTTGTAACCATTCTTGGGTGGCGCGTGCTGAGTGCGATGGTGCTGAGTACTGTTGGAATGTCCAAGGTCGGCGGCCAAAATGTTTACGTGCTCAAGGCTTTAGGCTTTAATACTTCGGCACTTCTTCTGATGCCACGGCCGGCGCTTGAGTTCTGATGGCCACCGAAGGTGCACATATTCAGCTGCCCTGTTTGGCAAGTAAACACGATCATTTTGTTTGTTTACAAACAGCTGGACAACGAATGTTTTCTCATCGGAGAAAACCAAATTCGGCAGTTCACCACTTTCGGCCAAGCGAAGCAACTACTTAGCTCTTTTGAGTATATTTTCTTTCTGTTGCGGTGTAAGTTCTTGCACTTTTTGGAATTTCAATGGTTTTACCCCGAACTGATTTTTCAATGTTTACCGAAAGGAATAATGCGATATGTTCAGCTCAAGAGCCATTTTTCGGAAACTGTGATGTGGGTTTCGATCAAGTCGCTTCTTTACTTTTCGAATCATTTTTGCTGATATTGATGTTTTCTTGCGTCCACTTCCTTGACGTCGGAATCACGGTAACAAGCGATGGAGTGTTCTAACGATAGCCACTTGTGGTTTTCCAGCCAAATATAAAGAAATCACACTATGACGCTTGAATTTCATCACGAATAACTTTTTTCTGGAAAATTCTCACCAAAATGCTTTTGTACGCTTGTAAACAATATAATGAGCTGTCAATGGAATAATTTTAACAGCTGTCGGAAGAGTGGCTTAGAAATGACAGCAGTCTGAAGTTGGTTGGAGTTTTTTCATCTCATCCTGTATATAGTTACTTTTGAGAATATGCATAGAATTACCATCTGAGTCGATTTATGTATGCCGTTCGTGCATCTTGGTCGATATATCTTATTTTCATAACTAAGAGTATAGAAACTTATTAAAAGAGGTAAAAGTCGGACAAATATATTATACATTTATCCTGACATTTATATACTACTAGCCGAACCCGTGGCGCTTCGCTGCCCCTACTACAGTGATTCACATAGGATAGTTCAAAAAGAAAACTTTTTCATTTAGTTTAAAAATCTACTATTTGATGGTATTTGACCCTACTGCAACATGGGGTTGGAAATGGTTAAATATGTATGTCTGCCGTTATGTCTGTATCCTCAGCTGTTTCCCTTATGGTTGGCATGCCTCCCCTCTCTCTCTCTCTCTCTCTCTCTCTGAATAATATAGCATAGATCCCTGCTGTATAATCCTAGTTAAGTTTGAATTTAAAGAATGCATTACCGAACTTAATAATCCATTGACCTTATCTTACCTATCTCACTTCAATGCGATGACATGACTGACTGCGAATTTTTTGTTCAGTCTATTCAGCGTTTTTTTGTCTATTTCATATGTATAAATAGATGTAATGCAATGGAGAGTACATTACGCCATTGTACCACGCCAATTTTTATAGGGATGATGCGTATTTGTATAGAAGATAGTCAGAGAAATTTTGAAGAGGAAATGTGTAACCCTTCTTAAGATATAAGAATAGAATAGGTACATTATGTGATATGTGTGATTACTTTTGATGCTATCCACGCATCCACGCTGAATTTTAGAATTTTATCTAGCCTATGTTACTTCTATCGGATAGCATGAGGTACTGTAAAAATATCAGTAAAATCTGTTTAGCAGGTTTTGACTCTTCAAACAAAACTTTGATAGATTTTGAAGACGATATATGTAACCGTTCATTTTTGAAGATATACCCATATATACATGTTCAGAAATTTTGAAGGTATGTTCACTATTGATGATATAACTCTTCATCCACGCGGAATTTTTAAAGTTTATCTAGCCTATTTTACTTTCAGGGCATGTCATGACATACTGTGTAAATCTCATTAGTATCTGTAACATACATATCGGTAACATACATACAAAAATGTTTTTCTATTATATATGGGCAATATTGCCAATTTTTTAATATTCCATTTTCAAAAAATCAGCTTTTTTGTTATTGTGGCACATCAATGTGGCATTGTACACATATAGAGAAAAATGTTCTGACTCCGAAACCGTTCGCAATCAAATTTTTGATTGATGCGCGCAAAAGTTGTCGAGGTTTAAAAATTAATTCAAAAATATCTACATTGATATATTGGATTCTCACTGGATATTAGAACTACATGCAAACAGCTAAAGTCCATGTTTGTTGTGCTTATTGATCCGAAGATGTAATTGTGCCTTACATCTTCGAAAAAGACAATAGAACGAATTTCAGCGCCTATTCGGAACATATATTGCTGTTATTGAAGAATAGATGTGGTTGGAGAGATGTGGTTTCAACAACATGGTGCCACATGCACACCATTCGAGCGAATATGGCTTTATTGCATGCAAGACACATTTCCTGGCTGCATAAAAATCTTTGGAGCATCTCTCGTATATATCCAAAGAAGGAAGTCGTTCGGGCTCGACTACATGATACCCTTAGACGACCTTTCCTTATTTGTTTTACACTATGCACTTTTCATAAAAACCATGCTTTCACTTCAAAAACAAACAAAACACACAAAAAAAAATCGAATCTCCCACAAGTTCAAAGAAGCTTTGCTGCATAAACTACTCGTTTTTCGCACTTTATGTAAGCAATTAAATAGCTTAGGATTTTCAGGCAAAATTTAAAGTTGTGGAAAATTTGCAGAACATAACACAAACAAACAAATATGGTAATCATAAGTACATATGCTAAACTCAACTCGTTTATATTTAAATGGTAACTTGTGGCTTCTTTTGTGGAAGCATTAATGTAAAC